AGGGCGGGGGAGGGGGGTGGAAACAAACAACAAAACTGTACATTTTTTTTTAAAGTTTGTTGAAAAGAATATTGTCTTATTCTATAAAACATTTCAAACCTAGTTAGATATTTGTAATCAAAAAAACATTTGCTCAGAAAGCAGCACTTAGGGCTGCCTGTCCTATACCCTGCGGTCAGACAGGAAAAGAACTGAAAATGTCACCCTTTTGACGTTCTGAGGCAGCTGGACTAGCAGCCGATTAAGGGAGAGTGATGGCGAGGTAGTGTGGAGAGGGTGGGGAGGCGAGTGGGGGCGCTCTCCATACAGGCAGGAGCGGGGACAGAGGGAGAGCTTGTGACTGGGGCAGTGAAAATAAACGATCGGCTCTTATCAATCACTTGCACCAACTAACCGTTTGTATCTTCTTTACCGACCTTTCCCTCTTGGGATGTCTGGTCCGGTGGGCTGGGAGGCCATAGTGTCCCTATCTCCACGTTCCTGTGCCTTTGTGCTGTTTGGCTGAGGCATGGAGACTACCAGTTGGGCGGTTCTGTTATATAGGATCCCCACGCCAGGGAGGCCTGGGGACTGTTCCTGATTGCAGAGCAGAATAGCTTGCAGCCTCTCTGTATCTGTTAATGGATTTCCATAAAATCCGGGGGAAGAGTTGGGGTTGCAGCCCTCAGCCTGAAGACTGTGATTTGCCAGTCTCTACTCTCTGTCTTCCAAGGTTGAGACAGGTGGGAAGTCTCTGAAATCATCTCTGTTAGAGAATCTGTCCTCTTATAGTTCAAGAGAAGGAACGTTTCTCAGGGTTTCAGCTCACACAGAAACGAAGCAGGATTCTTTTCACTGCAGCAGGATATGTATATAGGTGAATCCTGTGGTGTGGGCTACCAGGCCCAGGCGCTGAGAATAGCAGCTATTTTCTACAGTGTGGAGGGCCGGGGCCCTGCTGGCTTTTTTGATACACAGATAGAGAGTGAATAGAAAAGGGGAGGGTGGGGGGTGGGAGGCAGCTCCGTGGGGCTGCTGGAACTTGGGAAGAGCATGAATGTGAGCGTGTGCAGCGTGTGCATGAAAGAGAGCACCCCTTCCCGACTTGATGTCCTCCTGGGGTGCCTTCCCTGTGTGTCCCAGAGAGGCCTCTAGCCAAGAGACTTCAGCCGGGAGAGTTATTGTTTTGTAGCTTTACCAGCGCAACCCTCCCAGTTCTTGACAGACAGCTTCAGGTTGTGGGCCCAAGAATACGGGTGGATTATGGGAGCGCTCCTTTGATACTGAGCTTCGTTTCCATTCACCTTCCTGCTCAGCATTGTGTCAGCCAAGAGCTTACTCAGCGAACACCACACATTGCTGCACTTCCTGGCGAGGGGAGCCCTGGGTTGTGCTACTAGAAGGTACTTCACTTCCATTTCCTTACCTGGGCAGCCCTCTGTTGAAAATTTTGTGCTGAGATTTGACCTCTCTCCCCCTCTCCCACGGTTACTGCCGTGCCCAGGAGGGCGCGCAGGCCCTCGTCCTGGCCCTCTAGTCGCCCTTCTGCCCCACAAGGACCTCTAACCCGGAGGCTGGAATGGGGGGCTGGTAGGCAATACGTTTGCTTGCTCAAAATGATGTCCTTTCTCTGGGCACCTGCTTTTTCTGTGGTGCCATCAAATGGATTTGTGTGTGGCAGTGGGTGAAGTGATTGCATGAATTTTTCTGTAACCCACTAACTTTTTATTATCATTAAGGGGAGTTTTTGATAAAGTTTTGCTCATAGTGTCAGGGAGGTAAAAAGAAGGAGGTAGAAACTGGAGCCCAAAGAGATTCCCTTAGGGCAAGATTATGTTATAACAGAAAATTGACTCTGAGGCAGAAGCTGCCACCCCTATTCAAACGTTTAGTTCTCCAGCAAATAGCATCTTTTTATAGTCTACAACATGGTTCGGGGATGCTAGGCCCTCAGGACCAGGGGGACAAAGCTTAAGCCGCTTTGGGTTTTTTTGGGGGGAGGGGAGGTACTTGCTGTTAATTTTTGACACTAGAAAGTCATTTTTTTTAAAAAAAAAAGCTTTTTCTAGGTGGGTGGAGAGTGAAACTGCCACGTCCTTGTCGGTTTAGTCCAAGAGATCACTCGCAACAACAGTAGATGTCTGGGTTTTGTTTCTGTCTGTTTTTTTTATTATGAAAAAACAATGTTAAGGGGGAAAATGTGGATTAACAGGCGGGATCCCTACCCTTGTTTTCCTTAGAAGACTTGTTTAGTGTTTTATCAGACGTCTGTTGTAGTTGTAGATGGAAAAGCTTGTGAGAAAAACAAACACCACATGGAGCCTGTAAATGTTATTGCACAACCTGTAAAGCATTCTTGGAAGTGGCCAGTAAAAAAGGGTTTTACCATTAAAAAAAAATGTAACTGTGTCATTGTTTACATCTGTAACTTTTTCCTCCCCTGTTCTCATTACAACATTATGGCAAAAATGTAGGCACGGTAGCTTCCAGTTTTAGAATAAATAACCATTTGGATTGAATTCACCCTCTCTCCTGTCGCTGCACTGACTGGGTAGAGTGTGTCATTGGGGGCTTTATTTCTGATGCTGCTCCTCAAGTTGTACTGGGTTCCAACCAAGGTTAGCTTTCCTCTTTCACAGCTTTTCTCCCTTCCTATTCTGCCATGCTTTCACTTGGGAACCAGCCATACCTTCACTCGGGGTCACTTGGGGTTTGTTGGCTTACTTAAGTGCTTGCTTTTTTACTAAGAGCTTGAGTCATTGGAGTGGAAGAAAATAAATTATAACTCATGACCTCTGTGTATTTGGCCTATACTAAAACCAGTTGGATGCTTGAAGTTAAATGTAGGGTTCCATTTAGGAGCCAGATTGAGTTTATTCGTAATTACCACTTAAGAGGAAAAGCCTACTTATTCAACAGAAGATGTTTGATGGGGATTCTTTCCTAGTGACTATGTAGAATGAGAAGGTAACTTTAATTGACAAAAGCACTGCTGCATTACTAGCAGCGAACTGATATTGATTGTAACTTCTGATGAATGGCCGAGGACTTACTAAGGCTGGGCTCCCACAGGCTTATGACATCCAGTGTTTTGAAGTAGTGGTGATACAGGTATAGTTACTGCTCTAAACGCCTCCCTCTGTACATGGTAGAGATTCCCACCCCAGGGCCTTACAGCTTTGGGCCCAAAGGCTATCCTTGATTTCAGTGTCTGCCCATTCTCTAGGATATTTAAAGTTACTCAGTGTTACAGCTAATAATTTAAAATGGTTATTTATAGCTCATGCCTTGTCTCTAATAACCTCTAGACACCCCCCTTTGCCCCCAGCTAGGGCTGCAGCCGTTCACCCCTAATCTGATGAGTATGAAAATTGAATGTGTAGAAAAATTGAGCAGAGGTTGCTTTTTTTTTTTTTTTTTTTAATAACCTAACATCAAGATTACATTTATTGAGCACTTCTGACTTCTTACCAAGTCTGAGCTGATGTGGGCATTTTCACTTACCCCTCTGGAATTTGCCCAACACTGTAATACCTTAGGAAAAGAGAAAGATTCTTCTAGTGCCTTCTATGCCCTGCTTGCCATTTAAGCATGTATAGTACAGTCGTTGGATATCTGAATGCCTGCCATATGCCAGACACTGACAGGATGCAGGGATTAAACAGACTTGATCCTTAGAGGAGTTTTCAACAGGCACTAAGAAAGAACCAAGCAGGCTCCTGAACAGAATGGGGGTAGGTCCCCACTTCAGGAGGGCAGCCAGGTTACTTTCCTTGGTTTCTTCCTCTCTAGGATGAGGGAATTAAATATCTCCAGGGCCTATTAGGGCTCAGGAATTCATCAACAGCGGGGAAGCTGCTATTCCTGAAGGTGCCTCAAGTTCACTGCGTACTCCTGGAGCCTGTGGAGACGTCCATAGGAAACTTAAGTTCAGTTCCTGGTAGAACCCCCTTTATTCCTTTGGTTTCCTCTCTGTCCCCCTCCCCTGCTGTCTTCCTGTGTGAAGGTGTGGGGAAGCTGGGGGCGATGTGCTGTCTCTAATATAGGTCACCCCCTTCTGCAAGGCAGCCTCTGGCAGCCGACCCTACCCGCAAGTGTATCCCAGGACAAAGCATGACCCAGGCTTGCCCCGGGAAGCATGTGTCACTGGGTAGAGAGAGGGTGGGGAGTCTTGACAACCCATGAGGAGCAGACATCCTGAGACTTACTTTCTCTGCCTTGGCCCTGGTCCCACCTCCGTATGTGTCTTTCTTTCCCTTGGAAGGTAACGGCTTCTGGAAAGGTATGCTGGGGCTTTATAAACCTCCGCCAAGTTTGAGTCCGGGAGGCGCTCCTGAGACAAACCTCTGGCCGGGCAGCTTGCTGGACCACTACGAGGGGTGGTAGGCGCACCAGGGGCGGGGACACTGCTCCTGGCGGATGTGGCAGAAGGGCCCTGAATGGGAAGTGGGAGAATAGCAAGCCCCAGTTCTAACAGGAAGCACAAACTGAACAACTAAGGGCTTATCCAACTCCTAGGGAGAACAGGAAGCGACCAAGGAACAGCGCCCCGAGCCGAACGGCGCCGGGCATTGTCCTCACACTTCTGTTTCCGCTCCAAAGGAGTCTCTACTAGGCAAGATAACAGAGACCTAGATTCTCTCATAAGTTCCACGCGACCGGCGCCTATTGCTGGCGTGCTTGCTGGGACCCCCTTGTCCCATGATCCTTGGCTATAGCCGCCAGTGTGCCTTCACCTGGATCGGGTGGACGTCAGCTTCCGGCCTCCGGGGTGGGTAGGAGTGGGTATCGAGTTGA